CCCCCTTTTTGCTGAAGAAGATTCGCCCTGAGCTAACATCCGTTGCCAACCTCCCTCTATTTTGTATGTGGGTTGCCACCACAGCATGGCCACTGACAAGTGGTGTAGGTTCAGACTCAGGAACCGAACCTGGGCTGCCAAAGTAGAGCGTGCCAAACTTAACCACTAGGCCACCAGGGCTGGCCCAGGAGGGTGCATTTTAAATTTTAATAGACATGGTCAAATGTGTGCTGAGAATTTTTACACTCTGGAGAAATTGGAGGGACTCTTCTTTATAAATGTTGTGAAAGAGTGCCTTCTGGTTCAGTCTGAAGGAATAACTGTCAACATTCAAAAATAAGCTTAAACGAAGCTCGAGGCTTAAAATTTTTATTTTTACTTTTTTATTATGGACAATGTGAAATAAATACAAAAGGAGCGAGATTAATATAATGAACCCCCATCACCCACCTTCAACAATGATCATCTCATGGCCAATCTTGTCTCATCTATATTCCCATCCACTTGCCCGTGCCCTTGATTATTCTGAAGCAAATATCAGACATTATATCGTCTCCTCCTTAAATATTTCAGGATATGAAAGTGACTTATTTTTGTGCGTGTGTGTGAGGAAGATCAGCCCTGAGCTAACATCTGATGCCAATCCTCCTCTTTTTTTTTTGCTGAGAAAGATTGGCCCTGGGCTAACATCTGTGCCCATCTTCCTCCACTTTATATGGGACGCCGCCACAGCATGGCTTGACAAGCAGTGCGTGGGTGTGAGCCCGGGGTTCCGAACCCGCAAACCCGGGGCTGCCGCAGCAGAGCGCGCGCACTTAACCGCTTGTGCCACCGGGTCGGGTCCCCCCTTTTCTTCTTAAAAGCAGGAGATAAAACCCTGACATGGAATATGTCCTCCCTGAAGCAGGAGGAAAGTACCATTTTTATCATCAAGGACGGGAAGCTCAAGCTGAGAGAAGTCTGTATAAACAGAACTTGTTAAACAATTCTTATCTTCCTTTAGTCTCCCCACATATTTTAGTTACTTTTCCACAATTGCCTCTCTTTGCTCAACCTAGTATAAAAGCATTTAGGTTCTGCCACTTCTTTGGGTCTTTATTTCCTTATGAAGGCTCCTGTGTCATGTAAAAGTTATATTAAATAAATTTGTATGCTTTTCTTCTGTTAATCTGTCTTATGTCAATCTAATTCTCAGGCCCAGTTGAAAATCCTAAGAGGGCAGAGATAAAATTTTACCTCGCCTATAATGATTACACAGTGACCCTCTCAAAGCTGGAAATCTGATGAAGAAAGTCTTCCTTTTGCTTGCAGAAGAGCATAAAGTGTCCTGGAGCAGAGAAGAAGGCAAGGATATTGGTGTGGGATGGGGATGACATGTCCCTCTGGTGGCTTCTCACCTTTAAGAATGGGGTCCATATTTTGAGATGGTTCTGAGGGCAGTTTAGTGAAAGTTGCAGCTTTACCTTCTATAGGGGTAATTGTGCATGGTGGGAGAAGTCATTAGAGTCTTTCATTTATGTAAAATTAGAGACATTGGAAGACTATGTTTCCATTCAAAAAGCCAACTCTTTAAAGCATCCACTGATTCTGCAGATGCTGAGAAATAAACTGGTGTAAACACAAATACTTGGAAACATCAATCAACAGCAGAGCAAGGGCTTTTTAAAGCAAAGTTGGTAATTAAGCTGCAAGGACCAGCAGTGCCCACAGGGTATTTCAACTTATAAAGTGTGGGGGCAGGATGTTCAGAGTCTCTAAACACATCCAGTCATGCAGTGTGAAGTGTTGGAGGAATCTCTGTTCAACACAGACTCAGTAGTATAAAGGTCACAACTTTTCACTGAATTATTGGTGTTTCAGGTTACTTCTGATTGGTCATATTTTTAGATGAATCAATTCACTTGTCCAATTTGCATTTATTTAGAACCCAGGAATGAGAATGAGCAGTTTGGGCTACTACAAGCATACATGAAGTGAGATTTTTCCAGAGTCATGCAGTGAGCTATATACCACCCTCATATTATCTCATTTAATCCTCACATCACTCCTTTGATACAGCAATCATTATCTCTGTTCTATGCATGAGAAAACTGAGGCTCAAAGAGGTTAAGGAACTTGCTCCAGGTTACTTAGCAAATAAGTTGTGCAGCCAGGATTTGAATCTAGGGAGGGCCCTAATAACCAGCGTGGACTTTACTGTACAGACAACTTGTAATTTTGTAGATCTTTTAGGTTCTTGAACTGGGGGATGACGATGAAAATGAACAGACGGAAGAGCTGTCTGGTGGCATAATACAGGGTTCACAGAGGGAAAAAAGAACAAGAGTGCAGAGAGATCAGATAGAAGGCTGTGGCAGCAATGCAGGCCCCAGAGATGGAGTGACTAGAGTTATGAACTAGAGAACCTGGTTCCAGCCTTGTCTTTACCATGATGCTGCTGGCCGGGGAACCTCGCCGGGCAAGCAACAGTCACATCTCTGAAGCCTTGTTACTCCTCCCTAAATAATGGGTTGATAAATTAAGACTAGAAAATCTCTCAGTTCTTTCAAACTCTAAAATTCTGCCTGATGCCTTTAAATTTTAATGCATTCTAAATATTTAGATATGAAGACCCAAAATATCATCCAGAATCCAGAAAAGAATTTAGATGTAATAATTCTCCCCATGATCTTCTGTTCAAAGTACAAAGGAATAGAATTGTTTTTAGGAATGCTTTCTAACCAGATTAGCTGGAGACAAGCCAATCATTTCTGCATCTTACTGTTTCCTTTGTTTAAGAAAATGATTTGGGTATTGCTGCTGCAGCAGTAGTTGATGATATTAAAACCAAATAAGAATATTACTCTTGAAACAAATGAAATGATTTAAACCTATCTAAGAAATTTTATGAAAACATACCTAGGAGGCACAAAGTGCATTGTCATCAAATTAATTTGTTTCCTAAACTCAAATTTAATTTAATATGTGATATTTCTTCAATGGGTTCAATCAACAGACTTTAAAGAGATTTTAGAGAGCACAGGAAATAAATATAGTAATGTTGGAGCAAATAATCAACAGAATAGTTGTTCTGTGTTCTGTTGCTTGTGATGCTTCTAGAAACTATTTTTAACAACTCCCTGAGGAATTGGCTCTCGCTGGTGTGAAGCCAGGCTCTTCTCTTGGCTCACATCTGCAAACTTTTCCCCATCCTCATAATTCTATAACAAATCCATTTCCAAGCCCTGATGAGCCCTTGGTCTCCGTGTTTCTCAGAACTGACCCTTCCTCATCTACAAAGATTTAGGGGTGGGGTTTCCATTCCTGGGTAGCAGAAATGGCCTTTTTAGAATAAACCAAGGGGTAAAGGAATCCTCCTGAAAGAAAGCTTTCATCAAGCCATTTCTTTTATTAAAACCTTCAGGGATCCCATTGCTTATAGGATGAAATCTAAATGCTGCAGCTGAGATCCCCATCTTTCAGCCAAGCAAACGCATTAGTTTCTTTACCAATTTTAATCCTCCACATCTGAGATTTTGCTACTTGGAATGCTCTGCTCTTTCTCTCTGGCAGCTCATGACCATCACCTCCTTGGATTCTGTCTTGAAACTCATTTCCTTCAGGATGTTTTACTGGTTTAGCAGTTACTTAGCAAACAAACAACTCCTGTTTTTGAGCTTTAAGTGCTTTTAAGATAAATTATCCAAGTCTGGGGATAAACAATTTATAGAGATTTTCATTCCATAAGAAACCACCCAGAGTGATTTTATTTTGTGAGAGAGATCACTCCAATTTTTAGGTCTCTGCTTTTTCGCTAGGAATCCACACTAGAACCACACTAGCAAAATGACTCTTTATGGTGACCTCTAGTGGGCACAGGACAATCCTACAAAATTATGAAAAGTGAAGGGCAAAGTAAAACCTTTCCCAGTAACCAGCGGGGTTACTCTGAGGTCAGATGACCGCATCCCACCCCACCCCACTCTTATTTTTAATTCCAGTATTTGTTTTTTCATTTAACATAGTTTGCCTTACAACTCACCTGTTTCGCCTCTGGCGAGCTCTGCGTGGGCTGGGCTGCCGGTGTCAGATGTGGTGTGAATTGCTGGTAGCAGTTTAAAATAATCTCTGCCAAGGTGGAACCCACTCCCCAGGCATCCACCAGAGCGCAAGGCAGTTCGCTCTGAGGAGCCTTAAAGGGCTCTTCAAGCTCCGAGGACCGATGCTGCAGCCGGCTTGGGGGTGCACGGGGGAAATCAAGACATTATAAAAAGGAGGATGCAGACGAAGGCAACGGGAAATTCTGTTCTTGCCAGTGGCAAGGCGATTCTCCCCAGACTTTCACCCCACTCTACAGGGAGCGTCACGAGGGGGTCCGGGCGCGCTATACATAGGCGCCCTCTTAGGACTGACGCCCCAGAAAGCGGGGGTTGGGGCCGCTCCTCTGTGTCGGAGGGCGGGCGGCAGGGCGGCACTGAGGCTGGGTGCTGGGGTGTGTGGCCGCCTTCGGAGCACTCGGTACGTGAATCTCCGCGCCGGGAGAGAAAGAGCAAAGTAGGCAAGAAAAGCAATTGCTGGGATGCCTTCTCTGAGAAATCCTTTGGGGTGGTCTCAGAAACCGAGCTGGGCTCCGGATAGTTTCTGGAAAAAGCTCTCCAAACGCCGTCTGTCCCCGCCCCTCAAATCTCGCACCCTCGTCCTCACCCTTCCTTACCCCCCTGTCGCCTCACTTTGGGTGCTGTTAAAAGGGCCCTTGGGGGCTGCCCAAGTCATCCCGATAGCCCGGGGCAGAACGCGGGAGCAGGTACCCCGGCTGCGGGGCTTTGCTCCCCCCTCCAACCGGGGCTCCCCGCTCCTCGCATCCCCGCCTCGGGACCTCTCCCGGCCACTGCGGGCGGGAGCGGGGCGGGAGGACGGCGTCAAGAGGCGGGGAGCCCGAGGTCTAGGGCGGGGCGCCGGGGAATCCCAGCCCGAGCGAGCCCGGGAGGTGCGGGCGCGGGCGGGAAGAGGGCGGCGCGCGGAGGGAGGTGAGCGGAGCGGAGCCGGGAGGCGAGGAGGGGGAACCGCGAGGAGGCCCCACCCCCGCCTCTCGGAGCCGGCTCTTCGCCGCCTCCGAACCCGTTCACTTTGCCTCTCGCCTCTGGACGGCGGCGGGGCGGTTGCCAGAGCCGGGCCAGAGGGAGCACCGGGGACCCGGAGCCATCCCGCATCGGCGCGTCCTCTCGGCGCCCGCACCCCTCAGGAGGGACAGCGCCGCCGCCTTGAAAGGGCACCCCGGCCTCGGAGGGGACATCCCCAGGGCGCAGGAGGCGGCGGCGCTGACAGCCTCGTTCTCGGCCAGTGGGGCGCAGCGCTGGAGCGGGAGGGGACTCCCTGGCCACCTGCAGGTACCACAGCGCGGAGGGAGCGTTGCTACCAGCGACGGTGGGCTGCCCAGGAGGCTAGAGCCGAGGGGCCCCCGAGCCAGCGAAGGGCAGCAGCGGAGCCCCGAGGGGGAGCCGGCAGGACAGCCCGCGGGCCCCGACGGCGCGCTCCCCCGTCGGCCAACGGCAGGCAGACCCCGGGGGGCGGCGGCGGCGCCCTCGGGCCTCGGGGCCTCGTGGCGGCCAGCCATGACCTTCGGGCGCAGCGGGGCGGCCTCGGTGGTGCTGAACGTGGGCGGCGCCCGGTACTCGCTGTCCCGGGAGCTGCTGAAGGACTTCCCGCTGCGCCGCGTGAGCCGGCTGCACGGCTGCCGCTCGGAGCGCGACGTGCTCGAGGTGTGCGACGACTACGACCGCGAGCGCAACGAGTACTTCTTCGACCGGCACTCGGAGGCCTTCGGCTTCATCCTGCTCTACGTGCGCGGCCATGGCAAGCTGCGCTTCGCGCCGCGGATGTGCGAGCTCTCCTTCTACAACGAGATGATCTACTGGGGCCTGGAGGGCGCGCATCTCGAGTACTGCTGCCAGCGCCGCCTCGACGACCGCATGTCCGACACTTACACCTTCTACTCAGCCGACGAGCCGGGCGCGCTGGGCCGCGACGACGCGCGACCCGGCGGTGCCGAGGCGGCCCCCTCCAGGCGCTGGCTGGAGCGCATGCGGCGGACCTTCGAGGAGCCCACGTCGTCGCTGGCCGCGCAGATCCTGGCCAGCGTGTCGGTGGTGTTCGTGATCGTGTCTATGGTGGTGCTGTGCGCCAGCACGCTGCCCGACTGGCGCGCCGCGGCAGCCGACAACCGCAGCCTGGATGACCGGAGCAGGTACTCCGCCGGCCCTGGGAGGGAGCCCTCCGGGTAGGACGCACTGCTGCTCTGCTCGTCCCATCCGTCCTGTCGCGTCTGTCTGTCCCGTCCGTCGGTCCCGTCTCCGTCCTGTTTGCTTCTGGGAGCCCTAGCCAGGCTGGGTTCAGGGCCCAGCGAGGCCCCAGGCGCGGCCAGCCAAAGGATGGGTTGGTGCTTTCTCCTCACCCCAGTTTCCCAGGCACAAGCCGGTTCTGGCCCATATACTAGACGCTTCTCTTGAGGGCGAATAGCCAGGCGTGGGGAGGGTTAGATAGAGATAAATAAACCTCCCATCATTTTAGCTTACTTTTGAGCAAATGGCAACCGGTTAACTAGATTTTAATAAACTTTTAGTGTTAGTATTCAATAATTGAACCTTGGGCTAAGAGCAGTTTGAATTATTTGCCAATTTTGGGTGGTATTTGAATAGATGAAGTCTTGCTATCTGAAATGTGGTCTGCTATACACTGCCCACACATTCTATACACTCTGCATGATATGTGCTGTAATGGAATTGTTGTATTCTAAAGGAGATTAACAACGAGAGACTCTAAATAATGGATGTCTGTGCCCTTTGCTCTCTTCTTTTCCTGCAAAGTATGGAGTTAGCAAAACACCTGTCTGCCGTTTGGTACCAAAGATTCGTGCTGCCACTTTCAGAAGGCTCTGAAGTATGGGGAGGGAAAAAACTGTTACCTTGGGAAGGGAGAAAAATTTAAACTACCTTAAATCTAGAAACAGTCTTGGAGTAGTTAATGTTTTTTCTTTTCACTTGACTAGGGTGACAGGAAAATATTTTCATCTTTCCTAAGGTCGTGCTTACCTTTCTACAGTGATAACATACTTCTGTTTTTAGTACTAATGAGTTTATTTTGCATATTTGGTGGGAGGAATAAACAGAGTAAAGTTGGACTTGCAAGGGAGACACTCTCTTTGGGCACAAACACAAAATCGTATATTCTGTTTTACCTTTGATACTGTTTTAAGATTCCCCCTCCATTCGTTTTTTAAATAAGGTTGCACCTGGTAATCTTATCCTAATAGGCATGTGCACATTTCCAGTGGTGCTATGTGCCTTGATATTGCAGTGGACTACTTCCACATAATATTCTTCCTCTGGAGAATAAAGATTTTATTTAAGTCTAAGAAGTAGATAAAATTGTCTAGTACCATGGAGTCCATTACTGATATGCCATCTTGGCATGAAATTCAAGATACATGCTTTGAAAGGAAATTCATTAGAAAACTCATTTAGTTTAGTGTATTAGGTTCTAACTGAGTTTTTGATTTTACAGATAAGAATCACTTATTTGGTTACCCCATAAGTGCAATGAAATTAATTTATATACCTAAATACATAAGTGCTCTTGATTCTTCCAGAGGGCTATAGGAAAATGAGCCATAAATGATTGGCCTTGAAATGATTCACTAGTAATTGTAGAATTCTGAGGTTAGTGAAGGTTCAAGATACATTAGCAAAGGAAACAGGAGAACTGAGTTATTAGTACGAGAATTGAGTTATTAGTACGAGAATTGAGTTATTAGTATGAATATGGAGGGAATTGGCTAAATCAGTATGTAAGCAAAAACAGTGAAATAACTGGATTAATAATTTTTGGTTGGGGGTTGGAGGGAGTTTTGGGAGAAGGGGAAGCAGTTTGGGGATCTTTAATGTAAAGCATTTGGAAAGAAATGAGAGACGTGAATAATAATTTTAGGGGGGGAGAGAGAGAGAAAGAAACCAAAAAGAAAGAGACAGATGGAAAAGAGGAAGACTGGAAAAGAAGTGAAGGAAGAAGATAAGAGTAATGCTTCATCTGTGTATATGTATCTTATGTATGTATATAATTCAAGTCAGAACTGTTTCCTAGATACCCAGATATTTCAGGCAAAAGCATGTTTTTCTTGGCTTAATGGCCCAATTTTAAGCTTCACTTTCCGAGTGTAAGTATATGAAACCCAACTATAATCCCAAACAGATAAACTGAAGGATAATGAAGCACTGAGGAGGCTGCACGTTATGGAGCAAGCCTCCCACAGGCCTCCTCCAACCATCAGGGCCCCTAAGCTGGCACTTTGTAGTCTCTCAAACCCTGCTTGCTTGTGGTTGCTGAAATTAGTCTTTCTAAAAAATGATTCTGATCATTTGACCACATTTGGCATCTACCAGATAAAGTCGAAACTTCTTTCTTGGCCTTCAAGGCTCTTTACGGTTTAACCACAATCTGCCTTTCTCGGTTTATCCCATCATAATTTGCAAGCATCTTTTGGGTATCTGCTGTGTCTGAGGCACTGTTGGTGTTCTAAATATTGTAACTTGTTTTTGTAAAGAAAAGATATCGAGTTGGTAAGGTAGGAATCAGAGGCACAATTGATCAACAATTGAGTTGAGTTGTTCCGGGAAGGCCTTCATGGTGGGGAAGGGTGGAAACAAGCCATCTTTGGAAAGTTGCAGAGGTTATGCACTGTCCAACACTGGCAGGGGCTATCATTTATATAAACTATGGTGTTCACAACCTGTTCAACCATGTGTGCCCCTCCTGAGAACAAAATAAGGAGAATTTTCTAGGTAAAAGGAGCCGCATGGATTAGGCATGAAATTTGTATATTATGTTTAGGAAGCATGAGTCCAGTGATAGAGTGAGAGGTGGATAGAGAGCAGATGTTAGAAGGCCTTGAATGAGAGGCAGAATAATTTTATTTTGCAGGCAGTGGTTAGCCATTGGTGGGTTTGGGGTGAGTGGGTTATGTATATAAAATAACGAATGTCTTGAGTTGTGTACCATGAATTAGAGATAGGGGAGAGTGGAAACAGGAGGATGAGTTTGGAGATGTTTGCAAAAAGAGGGAATGAGAGCTTGGATTGTTTTGAGGTGGTGAGAATGGAGAAGAAATGACAACTCTGGGAGATATTAGGTAGAATCATAATTAATCCAGGGCATTGGAAGTTTACAGGCATCAGGGACAGTTTAAGTGGACTTCCAGGAGCTAGGAGCACTCGTTACCACCTCCAGGCCCCACTTGTCTAGTCTGGCCTGCTCACTTGTTCCTGAACCACCTGAAATTTGTCCCTTACTATGCAGTCCCTTTCCTCTTGAAATTGAATCATCCATCACACCCAGCTCAGATTCTATTTCTCTTTTGAAGCCTTTCCTGACTACCCTGGTAGATGTGATGTTTTCTCCTGAATTTCTTGAGGGGTTGTTTATTTGTATTACTTATTTGGCATCTGTAATATCTTTCCTAGCATGGTAGTTATTTTTTCATATAACTATGTCCTAACTCTTAAGCTAGAGGAGATGAAAAGCCCTAGAAGGCAGCTAAATTCTCTTATACTATTTATTGTGACAGCATCTTTTAGAAAAAATTATTATTCAGGCACAATAAATATCTATTGTGTATATTACATTTCAAAATATAACCTCCGAGGAATATATCTTCCGTTGCATAGACTGAAGAGCTGTGCAGAGTAAGGCTGTGGACTTCAAGTGGTGGAACTTTTAGTTGAGGAGGATCAGGAGGAGGGGATCCTGTGCTAGAATGAGAAAAAAAGTCTATTAAATCAAGGAATAATTATTTATCAAGTACTTATTGCCAAAAGGAATAAAGAGAAGCATATGATTTCTTTTTATTAACTGCTGAAATTTTAGAATAGCACACAATCTGAAATTTGGAAGAAATCTTGAGAGGTTTTCTAAATCAATGATTTGAAAACTTTTTGTGTATGGATATAATCCTTTTAAATTGGTTTGTTTTGGAAGCTTAATAATCATATACGTAAATAATGGTTTAAAGTTCAAAAGCTACAAAAGCAAGCCTTTCTCCATCCCACAGGCATTCATTTCTTTTCCCTAGATATAACCAAAGTTACTAGTATTTTGTGTGTCATTTCAAGGACATTCCATATATTTACAACCATGTCATATATATTTACAAATAACAAAAAAAAATGTGCAGTAACTCTTGAAACTTGCTTTTTTTTAACTAACCAGCACGTCATGGAGCTTATTCCATACGAGTAAATAAAGAGCTGCCAATTCTTTTATGCATTATTCCATTCTATTCTATAGAATTCCATTCTATTATGCTTAATATTCCATTGTATGGCTGTCCCATAATTTCTGGATGTTTCATTTGTGTTGTTTCTTGTCTGTAGGAAACCCTGTAGTGAATATCCATGAATATGTACATTATTTTGCTTTTATGAAAGTGTATTCATAGGATAAATTCCTGAAAGTTAAGATATTGGGTCAAAGGGCGTGTGCACTTGTAATTTTCATAGAAAATTCCAAATTGCTCTCCAAAAAGATTATATCACTTTATACTCCCACCAGCGATGTGTGAGAGAGTGTGGTTTTTCATACTCTACAAAGTGTTATTATACTTTTGATCTTTACCATGCTGAAAGGTTGAAAATATCTAGTAGCTTTAATTTGTTTTTGCCTTATTTTGAGTAAAATCGTGCATCTTTACATATACTTAGGAGTCATTTATCTTACTTTTTTCTGTACGATTTATACCTTTTGCTTATTTTGTCAATGACTTTCTTAGTTTGAAGATTAAAAAAATATATTAAGAAATTAGCCCTTTGTTTATGAGTTGCAAATATTTTGTTGTCTAATTTAGGACTCCATTAAAAGAAAATTACAATGGCAAAGAACATAGTAGTTGTACTTTTAACGTCTATTTATTGAGAAAAGATACATAATGATTTAAAAAAATCGTGACTTCTTACCATTCATCAGCCATTTTTGACTCCTGCAACTGTGCCGGACACTGGATATGGAGGTACATAAGACAGGGTTCCTACATATGACCCAGCTATCCCACTACTGGGTATTTATCCAAAGAACTTGAAATCAACACTCCAAAGAGATCTATGTACCACTATGTTCATTGCAGCATTATTGACAATAGCCAAGATGTGGAAGCAACTCAGGTGCTCATCAACTGATGAATGGATAAAGAAGATGTGGTATATATATACAATGGAATACTACTGCCATAAAAAA